GAGTCACCACTGGAATACAACTTCAGCTTCTCCTGCTGGCCCCGAGCTTTCCTGGGGCGATAGCTTTGGGGCCCAGAGTGCAAGCGGCACCCCTACTTTGGAGAACTGGAGGCCTGTTGGCCCCGATGTTTCGTCTCAGCCCCTCGGCTCAGCTCCCTCCCCGCCCCCCACTGGGACCCCTGGGCGTGGGCCGGGCAGCGAGGGCCCATCTGGGGCTGCGCACCCCAGGAGTCCTGCGGGTGCCGGGCGTGTGGCGCAGGGTGTCAGTGTGGGAGACGCGGCGGGCCGGGAGGACGTCACTTGGGCGGCTGGGCGCATCCCTGGGCGCCCCATGGCCCGGTGCTTGTCAAGCCTGCAGGGGGAACCCCGAAGGGCTGCTGGGCTGGGGCTCGACAGCACCCACCCTGCGAAATAGCGAAGCACAGGCCTTGAAGAGCCTGTGTGGGCTGATTCATCTAAAAATACAGGACACACTCATTACCTGTTCACATAAGTAACACTTTGTATCTGAAAAATCGCCCCAGTGACCCTGGGCGAGAGGAGGAGCGTGACATGCTGCCCCTGGTCTGCCCGTCCGGTCTGCCCGTCCAGCGCCATGGACACAGGTGCCTTCTCCGTTCGCTCTCTGTGCTGTGGGTGGGGTCTGGGCACGGTCCGGCCACGCACTGGCCAGGGCTGGGGAGCGACCCGGGCCACCAAGGTCCCAGACACGGTCCGGGAGCTGCCGGCCAGGCTGACGACGCACGGGACGGAGCGGAGCAGGCGTCAGCTCAGCCTGGCAGGGTCATCGGCACCCTGGAGCCGGACGGTGTCAGGCGGACTGAGCAGCGTGACGTCCGGCTCCCACGGAGACCCCGGCCTTCGGCTCAGCTGCCCCCAAAGCCCCGTCCAGCTGCGGGCCCCCGCCGTCTAGCGCCGACGGACCTTTCTGGGGGAGTCTGTGTGCGCCAGAGGGGCGCCCACCGGTGTCCACGCTTCGGGCCTGCTTTACCGCAAGGACCTCCTGACCGCCCAGACGCCCCGAGCCTGCCTCTCCCCGGCTGAGGCCGTTCTGGACAGGGGCAGCTCCCTCCCGGCCCGGGGCGCCGGCCACAACCACGCCCTCCCCCGTCTCCGGGTCCGGCTGGCGGGCGGCTGTTCGTCCGACGCGCAGTGGAGAGCGCGTCCTCCCAGCCACGGAGTGAGCGGCCCTGTCATGGTGGCCAGGAAGGGACCAGACTCGGGGAAAACAGTCGGTCCCATTTGTCCCTATGGAAAAGCGTCCCGATTGTCACGCCGGCCGGGAGGGTCAGGGCCCCCGGGCCAGACCCTGCGTCAGCCGTGCGGGGCCTGTGACCGGTCTTAGTTGTGGACGGCAGCGCAGATGGCCGTTGCCCATCACGGGCTCTGGGGGGCCGGCGCCTCACATCGGCGGTTGGCAGGGGGGCCCCGGGGGGGCTGCTGTTCCCCTTCGCCCCTTTAGTGCCGACATTTAAAAAGTCACTAAGTTGAATAAGCTGCGCCCGGCCGGAGTGGCGCCGCGCACGGTTCGGACACCGTAGCTGGGGTCCCGGACACGCGCGTGGCCTCCCCGTGTCCTCAGCCGCGCACACCCCGCTGCCCGCGTGCGGGCGCCTCGACTGGCCGCTGGCACTGGGTGGCCACGCTCTCGACAGGGTCACGCTCACGAGTCCACCAGGGCCTGCTTTTCTCCACTTGCCGTCGTTACTTTGGGAGGCGGCCTGTGTGTCCTGGGCCGCCGCTGGCCCTCCTCCCCGCTGTGTGGTCCTCCCGGCGGGCACCACTCGCCTGCTGGGGTGGGCGCACCACGTGGGCCTCTGTGCGCCTGCTGTGACAGGCCAGAGGGAGGCAGCTGCAGCCTCAGGAGAGGTGACAGGGTCGGGGTGAGCCGAGGCGGGCGGGGTCAGAGGGCTCGGCCAGCTCTGCCAGCCATGAGCTCAGCGCCCCGCCCGGCGCCGGGCCTGGAGCCGCCTGGAGCCGCCTGGAGCGGGGCGGGGGCGGGGGCCTGATGGACATGCTGATGTAATGAGACCCGAAGGCTGTCCCTGTCATCTGGCCACTTGGCCCTGCTTGCTGCCCCCTGGTGGGGCCTGAGCTGGCCACAGCCTGAGCCGAGAGGACAGGCCCTCGGGAGCCCAGCACTGGGAGGGCGGGAGCCAGCCCGCCAGCTGCCAGGCCCAGACGCCGCCAGTCTGTTTCAGCCTCAGGCTCTGGCCTGGCCCCGGCCCCTCAGCTGGGGGGGCCCCTTGCAGTGTGCAGACCCCGAGCCTGAATGGCCCTCAGCCTCACCACTACTCAAATGGGTAAACCGAGGCACAGGCGTGGCGTGGCAGCCAGGACAGGTTGGGCACATTGCGCCCGAGCCCGCCCGCCCTCCCCGCCCCCCACACCCACAAGTCCTGAGACTGATTTGCACCATAAAAATATCCCACGAATCGCCCGGTCTCTCTCTGCCAGGCCCCTGTTCAGTCCCCATGTCCGCTGGCCCCAGGCCACCGGGGTCTGGAGGGCCACAGGGGTCTGACTGAGGGAGGGCCCCTGCAGGCCGGTGCCAGGTCAGGCTGGAGCGCGGCCCCGGCTGTGGCTCAGTCCCGCCTGGCCTGGCCGGTGCTGCTGACCGCAGGCCTCTCCTCGCGGCCGGCCCCGGCCCTGGGTTCATCCACGGCGAGCAGGCCGGCCAGGCCTCCTGGGGCCCAGAAGCCTGTCTCGCCGAGCCCTCGCCCGCCCCCATCCTTCGGCCAAAGCAGTCTCAGGCTGGGGCAGCAGCTGGTGGGCCAGCAGGGCCCTGGCGCCAGGAGCTGCCAGCGCCCCTCACCGCCCCGGCCGCCTGGGCCCAGAGAGCCGCCTCAGGGGCCTTGGGGGCCAAGCCCGGGCCTCCTGTTCCTCGAGCCCCCAGTCCCGTCGCTTGCCTCTGGAGCCCGCCTGGAAGCCACCATGTCCTGAGCCTCCCTTCACCCCCACAGGTGTGTGCTCGCACCCCAGGGCCTGTCCAGGCCGGATGCCCAGCCCAGTGCCGCCCCCCTCCCCCGCCCCGGCAGTGTGATCGCAGGGACAGTCCTGCCTGAGGCCGTGAGCTCCTCTGAGGCCGTGGGTCACTCACGCTGTGAGTCGCAGCACCTACGGTGACGGGTGGCCACGGACAGGCAGGGCAGGATCGCCGACAAACACGGACCCCCCTTGAGCCTGCAGCCTCTGCCAGGGAAGGTTGAAGCCCCTGGAGCCACTGAACGTCAAGGGACCCCCGAGAGCTGCAGCGGCCGGGCAGGTCCCCATGATTTCAGGGTCTCGGGCTCGAGAGGGTGCACGGCTGGAGGCCACTCAGGTGGCACCGCCCCTCCGCCGCCCCTTCTTGGGTCAGCCTGTGCCCTGAGCTGGCACAGCCGGGACCGCGCCCCCAGCGCCAGGCCCCCGGCAGAGATCTCCTCTGGCGGCTCTGGAGGCTGAAGCCGAAAACCGGGGTGCCAGCAGGCCCGCTCCCCCGGCACGCGTGTTCCAGCCCCCCCCGCCCGTTTCCATCCCGGCACCCGGCCGGCAGGCC